CCTACCAAATCCAGCCAGTCGAAGCAGACGGCCGCTTGTCCTGAGCCTGGTTCTGCTAAAGGTTTCTTCCTCATGAGGGAGTTTTTCCTTTCCACTGTCGCCTTCACGCTTGCTCAAGATGCGAGTTCTGCAATGAAGTTAAACTGAAAACAGTCTGCTCCTCAGATAAATAATGTTAAATTATTATTTTATATATGAATGTTTCTGTTCAGTGCCCTGAGATGACTTCTGTTGTGACTAGGCACTATATAAATAAACTGAATTGAATTGAAAACTGAATGTAGAGAAGAAAACCTCTGTGCAATTGTGAAAATCATTTTCTATCTGTAGAAACTGGTGGTGTTGTGGTTTGGGCCTGTTTTAGTATATCTGGTCAGGATCTTAATTTAGTATATTTCTTAGCTCATATCTTAGATCTTACTGTTTTTCTTTACAATATATACTTTTGTTGGACGTAACTGGGACCCTGTGTACACAATTTTGTTTCACCACATGCACCACATGTGGTGCGAATGTCAAATAATATACTAAAACATGCATATCTGTTCCTGTATCTGTTTGTGACATGACTTGGTATAGATTTAAATGCATTCCCCAAATAAAAAAAAAAAAAAGTAAATATCAAGATGTTTGTGTTTTTATTTCTCCACAAACTATACTTTAAGTCCTGGAAGAGATCAGTAGAGAGATAAAGGGGCATACCAAACCTTAAATTGTAGGGGGAACAAGAGCAAAACTATGGTGCTTTTTTTCATTATTGACATGAGCAAATTTTTGTTGACCAGCATTTCAAGAATTAAAGGTGGCTTGATTACAGACTAAAACATGAATTGGTAAGATATAATAATAAAAAAAAAATGATGCACATAAAGCCTTATGTTAAGAGCTCCCACAAACAAGCACATTTGGGAAAGTACAACTCCTTGATTTAACCTGGAGTTTGTTTGTTTTTTTAAACAGGAAGAGGTTTTGCTTTAATCATGTTACTGTTCCCAAGCTCAAGGGAAATCAAATTCCTGCAACACTAGCTCTAAAAGTGCTCTTTTACCTGCACATATATGTTGAACTAATCTGGAACATTGGTGTAAGAATGGGTGGAATGCAGATCCTCAGACAAGGGGGAGGAAAGCTCAAGCTTCAAGCAATCACAACACAGATGTTTGAAGAACCCTTCGGCTTGACGGATGTCAGAGCTCATGTAAGGAAACGTAAAACAGCCGACTGCAGGGGGAGATGCTACATCTTTGCGACAGGAGTTTTGTTTAGCTTGATCATAAGAAGGTCAAAAGGCAAAAGCATCAACTTCACCGCTTAAACTTGCCTTTACTCTTTAGGCATCTCACAAAGCTGAGGAATAACTCCCACATGAGCATTTATCATCCTTTCAATACCTTCTATAAGAATTTTAAGCAATATGCAAAACATCTATGATGAGTTTTCTTCTTCTCCAAAATGTTACATGGAAAAAAAGTTTAGATTTAAAAATACTCAAAAAGTAAAAGTAGTTTAAGAACACAATGTTGCCTTCATCGCTTCATTATCTCCTGAGTTGTGAGCAAAGCACGTCATGGAGGATGCCCTTGCTATAGGATTTTATTTTTTTATTTTTTGCTTGTCTTCAGTTTGTCTGTTCTTGTCTTCTTATCTTCTGTACCTTTTCACCCACTCTTGTGACTTTCCACAGTAGATGTGTTTGCAATAAAAAGTTTGAAATTCTCTAACTGCTGACAAAACACATTTTGTTGTTTAAATGGAAACAATAGAACTCCTGGAGCAAACGTCCAATCAGTTGCATTTTGCCGAGCCGCCCTGGCGAAATGCAGCTGATTTGACCATTAAAGTGCATTTATTAAGGAAAAGTTCAACTGAGACACTTTTGCTATAATGTCAAGCAAACAAATAATTGTTTTTAGGTGTTAATCTTGTTAAATTCTTGTTCAAGTCCTCCAGTGCACGCTCCCGTGGCTGCCATTTGGCAGCAAACCGACTTTTGACACAACACCGGCCCACGTTTCCGGGTGGTCAGCGTTGACGCATAATAGATGTGACTTATACAGCGAAGCGATGTATTTATATTTTTTCCACTTTATAAGATATATTTGGACTGATGCGACTTATATGGGGGTGCAACGCGTGCGGCAGCAAGTCAAGTAAGTGTTCCTGAGATTTAAACTATAAAAAGCTCCCAAACGCACACAGTTCTGCCTGAAAATAAAGATAATTGTTAAAAAAAAGTGGTAATGATTAGGAAAGTAAAACAAATGGCAAACCATAAAGGCAGCCTGGCCTAATCCATCTATCAGCAGGAGGGCAAATGGTCCTCCACCAGCATCAAGGACCCCCTAGAGATTTGGCAGTGGGTGGCAGAAAACAGTGTTCTCATTCGCTCTTGTGAATACACAAATAAACACACTCAAAAATACACACATGCAAACACAAACCACTTGAGCTCCTTATCAGATAACATTCATAAGGTCACATCAAAAGGACAATGACTCGTAAGAACTTCAAAAGATCTTTATATATTATTAAGCTTTATTGAGATCTGAATTGTATTGGGTTAGCTTTGGTGCTTTGATTGAATACATGTATAAAACTAATTGTCCACATGCTTCACCATTTGTTGTTTGCTTGTTTTTGGGAGGAACCAAATGGACTAAATTGTTCTGACACTCACTTACACATCTTTCAGACACATTTACACACCATCAGCCTTTATTTTATTACTGTATTACCTATAAAAAATCCCTGCAGCTGAAAGAATAAGAACCCTTGCTTTACTTACCAAGTAAAAAAAAAACAGATTTGTGGTATGTGTTGGAATGCACGACCAAGCTTATGTATTGCTGAAAGATGCAAGCTTTGAGTTTCTGCGGGCATGGATGGAAGCCCCAAATTTACCTTTGCACCATTTATAAGCTACATAGCAAATATTTATGGAAAACCTACAAAGGCTGGTTTCCTCATCTTTAGAAATATGCACTGGTGGAAACCCAGTTTCAACCTTGAGGACGTCATCCATGTGTGTGGATCTATAGTGCTTTAGAGATGCTCACACATGCTGCAAGTTAGCTACGAGTTGGTCTGTCAGCGTGTGAGCATTCCATGCACGCTCATTAGTAAAAACAGCTCATGGACTGCAAAACAATATCAAGTAAATAAATAAAAACAATGTCAGACCATCTCTAATTATAGAAGCAAGATTACAGAAGTTGGACTTAATAACTTTTGTTCTGTTAGTTTTCTTGGTTTGTTTCTTTTTACTGTGCTGCATCACCGGTAATGCAGTCTGCTGTGAAACAGATTTCCACTAAACTTGAAAGAGTTGGTCGAGTTCAACACTAGCGCGGGGTAGAGGTATGGCAGCCGACCCGGGACCCAAAAGTCCCAGGTTTAATTCCCAGCCGTTCCGACATGTCGTGGTGTCTCTGAGCAAGACACCTAATTGCTAATTGCTCCCCCGTGTGCTTACATATCTGCCCACTGCTCCACCTGGGTGTATCCCAGGTGCGTTGGGTTAAATGCAGAGAACTAATGTTGCCATGGGAACAAACAATGATGACAACAGCACTTATCTTACTTATCTTATTTTAATCAAATCCTTATTTGGCATTTGTGGATCTGACTTTTTCTGTTTGTTTTATTCCCTCCTTTTATTGTGCTGTATGAAAAAAAAAATAACTTAATTAGCTACAAATCTTTATTATCACCTACAGCCAGAATGTGAAACTACAGAACACCAAAATATGAATTGCTGAATCGATTTAAAGACAAGTCTTTATTAAATGTGCTTCTACAACTTATTGTGAAGCCAATGACTGCCACAGCCAAATGACCTTACACAAACTGCCTATGTTCCATTCAGTTTCACAGATATTAAGCTAATATTTGGTGTAGGTGTAGTTGAAAGTCATTTACAACTTAAACCTCAAGTGCTCGAAGATAGTTTGTTACTTCAGCATTGTTGGATTCAGCATTGTTTGTTAGCAAAATACCTGTCGAATACATTTAAAATACACTTTTAAAACTTAATTATTCCATATAAATTTAGTGAGTGTTGTTTTGGCGTTAAGAATGGCAGCCATGACTTTATTCATTATCTTTACCTGCTTCTTTTTTGGGTCGTGAGGGTCACTGGTGCCCATAGCTATCACTGTGCAAGAGGCGAGGGACACCCCTGGATATGTCCATCACAGGGACACATGGAGACAAACGAGACAAACAACCATTCACGCTCTCACTCACACCTAGGGACAATTTAAAGTTTTTTTTTTATTTAATTGTGGCATGAAAAAAACATTTTCCACTAATTTTAATGTTCCTGTGTCACAGCAATGCTCAGTAGCTTTACTAACTTCAGCGTATCATCAACATTCAGAAAATTGCTGAAGTTCAGAACTCAGTGGGGTGTGATTACTCCTACTAGCAGCTGACAGCATCAAAAGGGTCTAACACCGCAAGTAGTGTTTGAGGGCTTTCAACATGCTGCTGGTCTGGTTGGGGTGTTTTAGTAATGTTTTAGCCTGTCAGCATCTGTTTCTTTTTGGACAACTGATGCTGAGAGTTGCATAACTTCTTTCATAACGCTATGGGAGAGGTTACCATAAAAATCTAGACACTAACTGGGAAAAAAATAAAATAGTTGTCTGCTTTTTTACACCAAACTTTGTTTGCTTTTCCTTTTCTATTCTCTTCCTCCCTCACACAAGTGTTATTTCACTCCCTTGGTTGGTTAAAGAGAGCAGCTCTGGCGCAACAAGTCTCATTCCAGCTGCGTCTCCGTTCCAAGGCGCACAGTAAGCGCGCTGGATAACGGTGCGCCCCCGGGGGCTCATCTGCTCGTGCCATCAGAGCCGTTATCTGGACGCTGCCTCGGTGCGTCTACGTGGCAGGTATCCTTTGATCATACAGATGCCCGCATTGTGCAGGCAAAGGAAGACGAAGTTAAAGCAAAAAGAGTTTTGTAGAAGAAGTAAGGAGGATAAAACGTGGATACTTACAGTGCTTTTGCGTTCCAATGGGGGAAAAAAGCGGGGTTTACTCCCTGAATGGCTCCTGGATGTCCAAGGCAAGATACTCAGGGTGCCTTAAATTCCTCCAGCAGACAGCTCATGCATGCGCAACAAATCCAACACACCAGAGCCAGGTAACCGTTTCATTTTACGTCCAAGCAGAGCAAACACGAAGCTGCATTAATCTGTCTTTGACGTTTTTTGTTCCTTTATCTTTAAGTCGGTTTTATGATTATTATATATATTTTTTGTCTTTCCCCCCCTCTCAGATGAAGAGTTGACGCGTCCCGCTCTGTCTCCGTGCCTCTCTGCGCTGGCGCGTCTCTCCCCTTCTTTCACCACACACACACACACAAACACACACACTCACACAGAGGCAACACAGGCCAGGACCTCTGTCTGCATGTGACGTCACACCTATGCCGCAATTTAGGAGAGAAAAAGCTGTAGTCCTATTTAATTTATAAAAGACGGATGTTGGGACATTTCAAGTCGGTTAAACTATGAATAAAATCCATTCCAAGTGAAGACAGGTGAAACTTAATAAGCAACAAGTGCATATAACCCCCCCACATCTGGCGTTGTCTAACTCATCTTGTTGAGGACATAAATGTCCGACTACCAAAGACATTTCTGAGAGTTGTTCTATTTCCCTCTGTGACTAATTGGAAACACGTTTTTTTCTGCACCTGGGGGGGAGGAGAGCTAGAAAAACTGTGAGACTGACATTAAGGGATTAAAAGATTTAAAGTAATCAATTAAGCCACCTCATAATCTTATTTATTCTTTTTATAAGAACCCCTGCCTTCTGAAGTGTCTGTCCATAAAGGAAAACCTTAATTTCCTCAGGCAGAGCTTGTTGAAGATGGACATGTGCAAACGTCACAGCATCTGTGAACACTTAGTGAGGTGTTTGTGTTAAACCAAAAGTCTGCTTTGGAATAAACTAGAGCACCACAGGCTGCTTACATGGAACAATACACCATTTTCTCCTTATGCCATTAAAGGGATAGTTCAAGTATTTTGAAGTGGGATTCTGTGATAATTAAAATCTTACCTGCTCTTTTAATCACATTGGTTTGAAAAAAAAAAAAAAAAAAAAAAAAAAAAAAAAAATTATTAAATCTGACTGGACTGAGAAGCCAGTTACAGCAAGAACAAAATGGATCATTGGATTCACACCAGCCCCGTTTAGTCCGCTTTAATCAAACTCTAGTCCGTTTGCCTAGAAAGTCCGGTTCGTTTGGGGAGGTGTGAATGCGCCATCGAACTCTGCTGTAGACAAAAAAACGAACTTTGGTCCGCCTAAAAATCTAGGTCTTGGTTCGGTTGACGTGAACTCTGGCGCGGTTCAAATGCATTGTGAATAAAAGCGGACCGGAGACCGCTCCAAAAGCAGGAAGTGGACTACAACACAGGGCATTCTGGGTAAATACAGCCAAAACAAAGGTGCATTTCTCATACGGAGCCTTCTCAGTCGCCTTGTGTGAAAAACCACATTCTCCATGGTCTTCGGCCTCATCTTCCGCTCATGCCGAGTCCATTGTTGAAACATGTTTGTTTGGTACATGAGCCACAGACAAAAGAGAAATCCTAAAACCACTCACATTTGACACCACTCCATTTTTGTTTTTATTTCCAGAAGTAAATTGCACTCAGTGTCTTCTTCTGAGGTTTTTGTGTCGTTTCCTTCAGTAGTTGTTGGTGCAGCGCCACCACAGGCGAGGTGGGGGGTGGGGGGGGGTGCATATTGGCTTGATTGATTCAGAGCAGTGTGAATGCAATAAAAATATAAACAAATGTTCTGAATCTTGGTCCCCAATCCAACCGAGTCAAATGGACTATTGTGTGTGAAAATGACCTTAAAGTACGTAAAACACCAAAAGTTTCTAAGGTATCAGTAGTACTTTATCTACCTTTAGTGTAGGGATGTGCTCTAAAGTACTGATTAGTCTCATTAGAATGATTTGTTTGGTTAGCTTTGTAGAGATCTAGTAGAGTGCTGTATGAACGGGTAAATGAGGACACAGATTGTAGTGTAAAGCGCTTTGAGTATCTTGAAATAAGATAGAAAGGCGCTATATAAGTACAGTCCATTTACCATTTACCTTAACACCTTTGTCGTATTGGCTTTTGTTATTCTGACCGATATATTATATACCTCTCAGAAATGTCTCATATAGCGCTAAAGCTGGCTAATATATACACTTAGCTAGATCACACCAAAGTAACAGTAATGCAAATGATCACCACGTAAAGGTTTACTAACTATCATTTGCATGTTTGGCTGTTTATGAGACTGAAGTTGGAGTTGTACAACAACAGTCCATTTCGATCTTGTCCCCACTCTGTTAGCCAGCCAGTCTAATCAAAATTAAACGTTATCTCTCCAAAGTCATTCAAAGAGCTATCTAAAGCTTTATGTAAGGTAAGACTTCAATAACTCCTATTTAAACAATCCCTTCCTCCAAATAATATGAATTAATATTTGATTTAGTTTAATGTGTACTTTCCTGATGGGTACAGGTTCACCTATTACCAGACGTGCTCTGGTGGAAGTTATATTTCAGTTAGCTGCCTATTCTTTTAAGCTCATTTGACGGAAGTGGCAAAAGATAAATCTAATATTTGAAGTTTACAAGTAAGTATCTTGCTTTTATGCTTTTTGCCCATATATTGATTTTAATTTAGAAAAGTTAATACAATACGGTAAAATAAAATCTATTAAACATATGGATGGTTTGGTTGCATGGTATTCAGCCAAAAGTCTACTTGGCAACGCTGAGCTGGACATGCAAACACAGTGATAACTTCTTATGCTTTCTATGAAAATGCAACTAAAAGATTTTGAAATGTCAGTGTTTTGTATTGAACAATATGACCAATTATTTGTAGTTTTTCCTCAAAAAAGGAGGAAATTGTGGGAGTTCTGTTCTGTCAGCTCCCTGCAGCCACATCTGGACACCAGTCAGCAGTCCTGGAGGATCATAAGCTTGACAAGCAACAGGACCATAAAAGGCTGCAGAGGACATCCAGTCAGTGCTGGAGCATTACCTGCCAATGGTAGTTGTGTTCTGAAGTTTTTCGTGTAATACTGACTAAGTATTGACCTACCTTTTGAGATAGGTTAACTTATTCAAAGTAGAATGTTATATTATAAACTGAAGTGCAGCTGAGGTTGTGAGAGGAATGAGAAAACCAGTGATTGCTTTGACTGATTTGTCAAAATGCTTGCATAACCACTGTGCTGCATTTGTGCTCATGTTCTTACAGAAGGTCCTCTATTTCACCTAAGTCCGTGGACCATATTTAAACCATGGTGTCCCACAATGGAAAGCAAACATCTAGTTATTGGCCACATAAGAAGCCTACTGCACAGGGGAAGACTCAGGCTTGAATTGCAGCAGACTTAGTTTCGTGCCATGCGTACAACAGAGACGTACACATTACTTCTTTGAATATGAAACACTTATTGTACATTTAAGAGATGTTATAAACCAAAAACCTTTCGTTAGTTCAATAAAACTGAAAGAAGAACGAACAAGGGCTGATGCATAGTTAAATGTTTGTGTGTAAAAATACCATATTTTCTGCCGTACATGTCACACCACCCTACAAGTTGCATCTGTTCAAATATGTCTAATAAAGTGGAAAAAAATCCATAAATACGTTGCTTCCCCATATACGTTGAATCTATTTTGCGTCTCTGCTGACGTGTCGCGTTTGTGTCGGATCTTAGCTGATAACTCGGAAATGTGGACAGGTGTTGTGCCAAAAATCGATTGGCTGCCAAATGGTGACCACGGGATCGTGCATAGGAGGACTTCAACAAGAATTTAACAAGATTATCACTTAATAACAATAATTTTTTTTCTGAACATTAGAGCAACAGTGTCTCAGTTTAACTTTTCCTTAATAATTACACTTTAACGGTCAAATCAGCTGCATTTTCAAAAGTATTTGCTGTCTCGGTGCTCCAGGAGCACGCTCGGAGGGAGGAAATCAGGAAGGAGGAACGTTGCGTATTTCTTCAAAATTTAACAAGATAAGCACCCAAAACAATCATCTGTTTGCTCAACATTATAGTAAAGGTGTGTCTCAGTTGAACTTTTACTTAATAAATGCACTTCAATGGTCAAATTAGCTGCATTTCGCCAGGGAGCGACATGAAGCTGATTTGACGGTTGCTCCAGGCAAGCTGGACGAAGGTGGTCTGCTTTGGCAAGCCGATTGCGTCATTAATAGCCACTTTTACTTTTTACATGATACAATGGCATGCCATACTACTCCAGTGCCATCTAGTGGCTGAAATTGGTAGTGTTCAATATTGTCAGTCAGAATGAATGAAAACAGTCATATCTCAGCCAAAAGTTGGTTTATAAATATGGGGAAAAAAATCCATAAATACGTAGTTTTTGCGTATAAGTTGCAGGGCATGCAAATTATGCAACCCCCCCCCCCCCCCCCCAAGAAAAAAAAAATACACGTGACTTATAGGCCAAAAAGTATGGTATATGTGAACATTTGAATTACCTGCATTTCCTAATGATGACCACTTAAAATAGGTTCCCAAGTTATTGGAGTGATAAAATAAGAACATTTCACCAAACAATTAATGCTCAGTGGCATTTTCCACATCCTCAAACAAGCTAATCTATCATTCAGTGAAAGAAAGTGAACTCATGGAATTTATCCTTAAAAAAAACCTTATATGGCAACCAAAGCCTTATTGGAATACTGTATTTTTTGCTACTAATAATTTATAATAAGAAATGCAACTTTTTGTTTTCCCAAAAAAGGAAAGTAGTGTTCATCAGTTTATATTTTGAAACCACTTGAATTGTCATTATATTTTTAGATAGCATATCAGTAGATCTACATTTACATGCACACACCGTTATTTCCTTCTTTATAGTTTTGTTGAGTCACATGTGCTGCTCCTATCTTAGCTGCTCTCTTGAAAATATCTCTATAAATTTTAGTTTTTTACAATCTTACTGCTTTT